ATTCATTATATTACACATCATTAATATGTTGCATTATGATTATCAAGAGACTTAGAGAATTAAAGGGAAATACAGTACTCTCTGGTGGCTAATTTTGTTATTGCACCTTACCAACAGTTATATAAATAATTTTTAAAAAAATGAAACCAAGGAATACTTCCTGAAAAATTCCTGTCAAGCTGTCAGTGGTTTAGGTATCTGGCTGTGGAGTCAGAGGTTGGGAGTTTGATTCCCCACTGTGCCTCCTTGACAGACTCTGGATTTGATGATCCATAGGATCCCTTCCAGCTATGAAGTTCTAAGATTCTAAAAATTCTTACTAAGTAACTGTTAAAATTAAGAGTTTTAAAGTAGCTGAGTCTTCATGTTCTTCCCAAAAAATTACGTTGTAATTACTTACTGCATTATTTGGTGCCACAATATTTACAGATAACTACCCTACCTGTAATCAGTTAATTTCCAAGTTCTAGTGAGACTAAAGAGGCAGAGGCAGAAGAAATGACTGCGTTTAATCTGTGCAAAATGGACAGAATAAGATATAAAAGGAAGACAAATACTGTGCAAATAGCACTCTCTGTCCATCTTTGGAAGAGAAGGAGAAAGGTATTATAAAATCCATTACTTAACCTGTTCCATAAATTGCTCTGTCTATCTATCTGTCTGTCTACTGTCAATTTTGACTTATTTCAGATTTATTAGCAAATGATAGTGTAGCAAAAAACTACAGAGGCTCTGTCTGTAGGCACTATTTCTTAGTGGCAGAGCTTTTCTGAGCAATGCACGAGTGAATCAAATTAAAAATCCAAACCTTTCTGTTCCAAATTATGGTAGCAGGAGGTGGGAAGTATTACAGTTGTGTTGGACGGAGTAACACATTTCATGTCATCAGAAACCTATATTAGAGACTGACAATATTTGGAAAGGGTTATTGCATATAAAACCAGTCACTCACATTACTGCTGAAACAATATTGTTCTCTCCTGGAGCAAGTCAGGAAGCAATAACACAAACAGTTGCATTTGATATTGCTTCTATTTCTTTTTAATAGCACTGTCTTGAAGATACAGCAGTTTCTCCCTGGGGCCTGAGCTCAACGTTTACATGAGTTCCACAGGAAAATAGAGGATGTTACTTTAAAAGGCAGTCAAATATCTTTCTTTTTCTTTATTTGTATCAGAATAAAGAAACTATTGTAGTCAGAGAAAAAATGTACCTGCTTTTATTATTTAAAATCCTGTGTTCTTGTCTAGACGATGTGGCAGCATGTCCATGTATAGCCACCAGCTCCCTTTGTGGACCTATTGTGTGCACGCCACTGGATTTCTAAAATGAGCTCCCCCAAGACTTAATACAGTTATAGTAATAAATTGAGGGCACGGTCTGCAGGAACCTTGCCAAAGCTAAAAAGACCCATAATTAGACAGCATTTGGAAAAGAGTTAGCACTAGCTGAGGCATTATATAAATTCCAGGTTTAAAAAGTAACTTTTCCAAGCCTTGTACAAAACAGACCCCTCCTTGCTGAACAGAAGAGAAAGCAGAGCAAGAAAGTGAAGCTGCTGCTGCTGCTAACCTTTTTGTCAGTGTTGCTTAGAGGCAAGGCAAAGCAGATAAGACATGTGCCTCATCTATGCAAGGAAACATAATTGATCTTGCTTGGGGTTTTAGCACAATCACACCTGAAGAGTAGTCTAATGTTGGTGCTGCTCTGTGCTTGTTACATGCCATTAAGTCACATCCAACTTACGGTGACTCTAACAGGAGTTTCAAGGTATGTGCAATATCCTAGGAATATTTTTACCAGTACCATACCCTGGTGAGTTTCCGTGGGTAAGTCTAGCCCATCACTATCCATTACGCCACACTGGCTCTCATCTCTGTTACTGTTATGTGCCACCAAATCCCTTCCAACTTCTAGTAACCCCAACAGGTTTGCATGCTCCAAGAGTGGTATTCCAGTGCCATCCAGCATATGAGTTTTCATGGCCAAACAAGGATCTTGAGTCCTAATTCAGAATTTTGTCCCTTACAACACTAACTCTCTTCTAAAGTCAGTGTCTCAGAAAGAATACAGGTTAGGTTTGTTATATCTCTTCTCCATTCTATACAGACCTTTTCATGTTTACATATGCGTTGCTATGGCAAGACACCTTTCTGACAAACCTCTAAATCAAACCAATTCTTCAAAAACCCTCCGGTTTATGAATAGGGCTGAACCAAAGACAGCTGGGATACTGCTGCAGTCCCTCTGTGCCAAAATATGAAAGAATACAGGTTAGGTTTGTTATATCTCTTCTCCATTCTATACAGACCTTTTCATGTTTACATATGCGTTGCTATGGCAAGACACCTTTCTGACAAACCTCTAAATCAAACCAATTCTTCAAAAACCCTCCAGTTTATGAATAGGGCTGAACCAAAGACAGTTGGGATACTGCTGCAGTCCCTCTGTGCCACAATATGATGAAGGGCTGTTTAGGACTTAATGAAATGGTGAGGAACAGTGTGGGCTGTTTTGGACTTAATGAAATGGTAAAAGTGCGAGTGAGTGCAGCACACACAACAGAGAAACATATGCACACTTTTAACTTCTCAGGAAAACTAACTTTGTCATGTCCGATCTACAGAATGCAGACTGGAAAGCTATATTCAAATTCCAAATCCTTGCTCTACAAACACGTTGCTGGCATGATTTACAACAAATGTCCCCTCCCCATTCAAAATAAAGAAAGGGGGCATGGGATTTACCAAAGATAGTCACATTAAACCAAGGTCAAAACAATCCAAGTTGGACAGGGAAGAAAAACAGGGGGTGCAGAGAAATCAATTCAAGTTGAAATGTGGTGTTGGAGGTGTGCCTTACAGATGCTGAAGAATTACAGAAAGGCAAGTAGGTGGGTTCTCTATCAAGTCACGTCTGAGCTCTCACTAGAGAAAAATGAGTAAACTCACGCTATCCTATTTTGCACATATAATGAGAATATAAAACTGGCTGGAAAAGACAATATTGCTGGGAAAAATGGTTGTGGGGTAATAGAAAAAGAAGGTGAAATAACATGAGATGAACTGATTCAATAAAGGAATCCACATCTGTTAGTTTGTAAGACCTGAGCAGAATTTACTGGAAAAGATAATACAGTCGTGCCCCGCTTAACAATTGCCCCGCATTCTGAAGAATCCACTTTACGATGATGTTTTTGTGATCGTAATTGCGATTGCAAAACAATGGTCTAAATGGGGGAATTTCACTTAGCGATGATCGGTTCCATGCTTCGGGAACCGATTTTCGCTTTACGACAATCAAAAACAGTTGATCGACGGGTTTTCAAAATGACCACTGGGTGCTTAAACTGGCTCCCTGCTGTGCTTAGGGACGGATTCCTTGCTATACAGGTACCAAAAATGGCCGCCGTATGGAGGATCTTCACTGGACGGTGAGTTTTTAGCCCACTGGAAGGCATTGAGGGGTTTTCAATGCGTTTCAATGGGCTTTTTAATTTCGCTTTACAATGTTTTCGCTTAACAGCGATTTTCCTGGAACAGATTATCGTCGTTAAGCGAGGCACCACTGTACTGTTAGAAAAGGAGGAGCAATAGGAAGAGAGAATAATCTAACATGAGATGTAGTTGATTTGTGACATCTGAGCAGACCTGATAGGACATTGACTCATATAGTTACCATAACTCAAAGTGGTTTGATGATGCATAATGTCTTCAGGTTTTTTTTAAAAAAACAAAAATCAATCAAACAAATAAAAAATATTACCAAGCAATTGTATAGTGATGAGTAGGGGGGGATTTCTACGGTCATTTTCCCCCCTGCAGACTATGTTTGAACTTATAAGTGGATTTGGACTTGTTTATGAGTAACCTGGTGAGAAAGGCCAGATTACTCATAAACATGTTTAAACTTGTTGTGGGTTCAAGTATAGGTTGCAGAGAAAGTGTGATGTCTTAGGATAAGATGGGAATAAAAAATATTACCAAGCAATTGTATAGTGATGAGTAGGGGGGGATTTCTACGGTCATTTTCCCCCCTGCAGACTATGTTTGAACTTATAAGTGGATTTGGACTTGTTTATGAGTAACCTGGTGAGAAAGGCCAGATTACTCATAAACATGTTTAAACTTGTTGTGGGTTCAAGTATAGGTTGTAGAGAAAGTGTGATGTCTTAGGAACCCTCCCCCTGGCGATAAGATGGTTGGAATGGAGACTATGACAGAAGACTAGGATACCATATAGGCACCAAAGCTCTGCTAACATTAAGTAAGACCATCCCAAGCCACAAAGCAAAAAAAAGTAATTTAACAGCTTGAATGAGTGAGTTCATGAATATTTATTATGATGTCTTTTTAAAATATATTTTCAATATCTGTATTTTTAATTAAATATTCTTTTGGTGTCTTCAGTTTTACAACTGGACATAGAATCCTCTTGCAAGCATGATTCCGATATGCCTGGTTGTCCAGGAAGGAGTTAAAAAGTCACCTAAGAGTCAGCTAACTGCATTCTGATTGATAGGGTCAAAAGTTCAGATTGCTTGAGACCTGGAACTGACTTTACCTTTGAAAACCTATGCGAGGAGACTATTAGGTCTCAGAAATCTTGGGAGAATGCTTACTGAAATATCTCCCCATCCTCCCATAAATACATACAGTTCCATTTCCCTGAAAAGCTCCTGCTGGCAGGTGTGTACCAAGCATGGTCAATCTTATGACAAAGTAGCTGTTTTTCCTTTTTGAAAGCATGTATTTTTAATTTATATGAGCTGTTTTAAATCAGGGGACATTTGGGTTGCCTATTCATGAATGTAGGTGCAGTTTCCCTTTTAACAGGTTTTAAAGTTCATAACTGCTCCCATTTCTAGAATTGTCTTGTGGAGTGCTGATTGGCTCTGCCGGTACAAGAAAACTGCTGCACTCTCATGTAGCAAGAATACACTCTCATGCAGTAATTATAATACAACACAAAGCTCTGACTGCACAACAAAACAGCTTTACCTTGAATGACAATGGTTCTTCAGTAAGTGGACTAACTGGAAGGGAGTGGGTACTGCTGGCAGGACTCATATCAGTGCTCTAAAAGAAAAATAAAGTAAAACTTAGATTAGTTCTGGGCATTACTGAACTACGTGATTTATTTTCATTGATTTGAATACAGAACATATGTACTGTATTAAATAATATGTTTCATATTGTCACTGATGTATTACAAAAGAGTTAAAAACAGATTTTGCTGTGACTCTTCTCAGCACAGGGATAAAGTGACACAGGATGTAACCACAAAGCTGGAAAGGTGTGCATCTGATCACACTGTAAAGTGCTGCTTTGCAGTGATCAATCTCCCTTAAAGCGACCTTTCCATCTGTTGGGGAATCACTGGCCCTAAATTGGATCAAAATGGTGGGGTTGGGCTGGAGTGCTACTGCCCCTTTGCTGTGACTCTTCTCAGCACAGGGATAAAGTGACACAGGATGTAACCACAAAGCTGGAAAGGTGTGCATCTGATCACACTGTAAAGTGCTGCTTTGCAGTGATCAATCTCCCTTAAAGCGACCTTTCCATCTGTTGGGGAATCACTGGCCCTAAATTGGATCAAAATGGTGGGGTTGGGCTGGAGTGCTACTGCCCCTATATCATGTGATCACTTGGAAATGGATCATACTTGGCCACTCCACAAGTGGTCCAAAATGTGATATATTTCTCCCATCTATATCATGTGATCACTTGGAAATGGATCATACTTGGCCACTCCACAAGTGGTCCAAGAGTGTGATCTATTTCTCCCATTTGATCGCACCCAAAGATTTGTCTACTATAACTGAGAGAAAAACAGGTGCCGGTAAGCTATAAAAACTACAATTGACACAAGCAGGTTATTTTTATTTGTTTGTTTGTTTGTTTGTTTGTTTGATTGATTGATTGATTGATTGATTTATACCCCGCCCATCTGGCCTAAAAGGCCACTCTAGGCGTCTTCCACTGAATATAAACAATAAAATAATACAAAGAGTTAGATAAATCATAATTATAACATGCAGAACAAACAGAACAAAAATAAATAAGGGAGAACAAGAGAAAATCAAGTGTTAGCTGGAGGGAAGGCCTGAATATATAGCCATGTTTTTAGTAGACTCAGGAGGGAGATTATTCCAGAGGCGAGGAGCCACCACCGAGAAGGCCTAGTTTCGTGTCTTTTCCTTCCGGGCCTCTCTCGGCGTCAGGCTCCTCAGCCTCACCTCCTGGCTCGCACGAGTGACACCGGTAGAGCTTGGTGGGAGCAAACGTTAACTGTTACAATTTTTCTTGGTGTGTTCTAATAAATACTTTCTCTAGCACTTCCACAAGATAATGAAGAAGACATTCAAAGCAAAATACAGATAAATAGACATGCCATAAAGACCCTTAACGATCCCAGTGGGAACAATTATTAACTACGGAATACAATACAACACAAAAGCTGTGGTCAAAGAAGATCGGTTTCTTTGTTGGACTGTAACAGATGAACCCAAGAGAAATGTAATGTCATGTCTTTCAGGACTTTGAAAACTTCTATTTGGCCATTTTAAATAGAAAAAAAAATATGAACTGTTAAAGCAAGTATCGCTAGAAAGGAGAAAACAAGAGTAAATGGTTTTGGATTGCAGTTGAATCCAAACTCAAAGATATGCCAGGTTTGGAATGGCAGAAGCTGCCCTTGTGCTGGCACAGCTTGCTCTTTTGTTGGTACAGCCACCCTTGCACCGGCATAGTCCACTTGTGCTGTTTGATTCCAAGGATCTGCTTGTAGAAGGATCAGCTGACACAATTTCCATGCTGGTTTAAATCAGTCAGAAGAACAGTCAAAAAAAGAGGTGGGGGGAAGAACAGGCAGGAGCTGAATTATGATAAACCTGCTTAGCCCAAAGTTATGGCCACTACGCTAAAACAAATTTAGGGTATGTAAAGGTAAAGGTTCCCCTTGACATTTAGTCCAGACGTATCCGACTCTAGGGAGTGGTGCTCGTCCCAGTTTCCAAGCCGTAGAGCCAGCGTTTGTCCGTAGACAGTTTCCGTGGTCATGTGGCCAGCGCAACTAGACATGGAATGCCGTTACCTTCTCGCCAAGGTGGTACCTATTTATCTACTCACATTTTTACATGTTTTCAAACTGCTAGGTTGGCAGGAGCTGGGACAAGCGACAGGAGCTCACTCCGCCGCGTGGCTTCGATCTTGAGACTGCTGGTCTTCTGACCATGCAGCACAGAGACTTCTGTGGTTTATCCCATAGCGCCACCACGTCCCATGTTTAGAGTACCCATAAGTAATCGGAGTCCTAGTTCCATCCTCTGTTCTAGCCGGTCTGAAAAGACTGATGTTACAGTGCAGCTGAAACCATCAAGCAATCTTAACACTTCTTCATCATTATTCAAAACCCATCCACACTCACATGACAGAGTGCCTGGCATGGAATTGTATCATCTCTGGTCTCATGGAAAATACACTGTGTATATGGAAAGATTTCCTCAAAGTGTTGAGGAAATACCACTGTGCACGATAGAAGATACTCTATACGACAACTCAGCAAACACAGAAAAACACACAACATCTCAAAGTGCATAGTTTGACCCTCACAGGAATGAAACAGCCAGGAAAACACTCAGAAAAGCTGAGGTAAGAAAATGCTGAAACTTCACCGCTGAAATGACCTGGTTGGGTTTCAGAATAGCTTCAGCAGGCCTAATGTCAGCCATCTTGGATAGATAGGATCACACCCTTAAACTTTGATGGAGGATTATGACAAACGTTCTGTAGATGCTCTTGTAAAATTAGCATTTTACTAGAGTGGTCCTGAGTTGGCTAGATAGGCGGGATATAAATAAAATAAATAAATCAACAGACTTGCACACTACGTGACTCACCCAGATAGATACAGTCCAAGAGTATACAAAGTGCAGCCTTCCAAATGTTTTGGGGCCATAATTTCCAGAAGCCCTAAGTAGCAGAGGTAGCAGATGAGCAATTCTGCAAGTTGACGTCCAAAATTATCTCAGCTGCACAACTGTAGACCACCCATCATAAATGGTAGCCCATGAGGATGCGCAATAAACTCCGGGTTTTTTTGCCTGTCTGAGATAGCACAGCAGAATAGGTTTCCATATGGGAAGAAACAAAGTCTTGTCATTTGTTAATGAGCAAAGGATGGGATAGGAATACAGATGTGAATCAAAGAAATGCAACAAAATCAAGAGCAAGTTTTTCAAGACATTTTCATGTCCCTAATTATGACTGAAGTCCCTTTGATTTCAAAATATGTGTCTAGTCCACATTATCTACACAACAATTATCTAGTATATAAAGTGTGGAAATCAGCACACATAGGTCTATCATGTATATCTGGTCAAAACTGTTTTAAATTCTGTAGTATTTCTAAACACACAGTAGGAAACCTTTATCCACAGGATCAGTATCCCCTGACTCACTTATCCACAGTCTGAAAATATTTGAAATATTAAAAGAAAAATCAATATTATCTCTCTCTCTCTCTCTCTGGTGTGTGTGTGTGTGTGTGTGTGTGTGTGTGTGTGTGTGTGTGTGTCTGTCTGTCTGTCTGTCTGTCTGTCTGTCTGTCTGTCTGTCTGTCTGTAAAATGACGAAGTTATCACTAGAGATGTCCTTAGAGGGAGCCAGAGACCATGCTACGTATGGCATTCACTAGAGAAATAATTTCTATGATGTCATACCAGAACATGCTACTAGATGGAGCCAGAGACCATGCTATGTATAGTGTTTCCTATTAAAATTGTGTTCCATGTTTTTCAACATCTGTTGGGGGGGGGGCGTGGAGCCTATCCCCCATGGATACAGGGGACTTAGTGTACCAGCAGCTCCCCAATCTGTAAAAACGTAAACTGTTCATGAAAATTGATAATGCCTTACTTCAACCTGTACAACCTGGATTACTGAAACTGGGAAGTTCTTTAACTGTAACTTAAAATATGTACAGTTATTTGGGAAACGAGGGCCCAAGAAAGGGCTAATTCTGTTTGCAGAAACTGCTTTTCAGCAAGAGCACGCAGTGCTATGATAGCCACCAAACTCTTAACTCCCCTCAAGATTGCTATCAAAATTTATTGACCTGAGAAGTTAACACTGGCAGAAAATCTCTTCAGTGGGTATTAGAAGCACAAGAACAAATAAATCATGATAAATAAAGAAAGGAAAGAACAATCTGTGCATTTTCTAGCTATTTAAAGGTGGGGGAGTGAATCTCCAATTTATTTTCAGGGAGATTGCTTCTACCATTAAACTGAGCGTAAGTTCACATAGCCTATGAGTAGAATACAGTTAACAAAATTGTATATGACTGACTAAATATTTCAGTAGTTGGACACTTCATATTTGAAGACTAGTAAAAGAGTGAAATTTAATTCACTGGCATTGTTGTGACATATTTTAGCTTAGCGCTTGGCTGTAAACTCTCCTCCCATTTACAGACAGTGAAGATTATGTGGATAAGATTTTGGCAATATTCATGGATAAAATGAATTAGGGAGGTGGACTATTCCCCAGTGTTCTGCCAGACTCCATCAGTTCTTGGTCATCATATCCCCTTAAAATGTTACACAGAAAAAGGGATTTGTCTGGACCAATTTAACGACACGCTTCCTGCCCAGCACCAACTTATTGTTCCAAATGCAAGGAATTCCACAGAATAAATATTGACAGTTAAACTGCATGTTACTTTGGAGATCTAGCTCTTTTTTTCTTACTCCAAAATTGTTGTTGTTGTTTAGTCGTTTAGTCCACTGGTTCTTAACCTTTGTTACTCAGAAGTTTTTGGACTGCAACTCCCAGAAGCCTTCACCATCAGCTCTGCTGGCTGCGGTTTCTGGGCGTTGCAGTTCAAAAACACCTGAGTAACAAAGGTTAAGAACCATTGGTTTAGTTGTGTCCGACTCTTTGTGACCCCATGGACCAGAGCACGCCAGGCCCTCCTGTCTTCCGCTGCCTCCCGGAGTTGGGTCAAATTCATGATGGTAGCTTCAATGACGCTGTCCAACCATCTCGTCCTCTGTCGTCCCCTTCTCCTCCTGCCT